AATTCAACGGATCCTGGCCATATTTGTGTAGCATATCAAATTAATTTGCTCCCAGACATTCATGTGGCTTGCTAGTTTTGGACCCCATCTGTAACCCCAATACACGTATGGGGACTTTCATTCAGTGATCAAATGGATTTCTTTGAGTATGTATTGGTCTCGTACCTCTTGTTCCTCAATGCTGGATGGGGAGGGAGGTCGATGTGGAACCCCTCCGTCATGCTCCAGCGTCACAATGAGGATCTGAACAGCCTGCTCCACCAGCTGCTCCCGGTAGTCGGAGAAGAGCAGGTGGTTGTACGGGATGCCATAGCCCACTGGATCATAGGCACACACCACATTCAGCAGAGAGGTGAACAGAGGCAGAGCATGTCTAGGGAAAAGGACATAAAGACCAGGTTACAGAATGATGTGCTAGAATTTACCCATACCATTTTTTTCTTAAGGAAAAATGTTATATACTCTATTTTGTAATGAACTCCCCTATTTAAGTCAATGCAGAATGTAAGTAGTTCACAAGACAAACAGAATGCATTCATAGTTATATAAATATGTGTTAGCATGAAAGACCATTCAGCAACACAATTCAAGACTTTGGAAATAATAGTTCAACTGTAAAGAAAGATCTAAAAGAGCTGCATATAAGAAATGTTTTCCTCATCTAAATGCAATCTCCATGATAATGAGCAGATCAACTTGTGATGTTAATCATGAAGTGCATTTGAAAGCTCTGAAAGGTTTTGGACTAGATTGTTTTGGTTAAAACTGTAACTCTTTGATTATCTGCCATGGCTTAATTCTGGTTAAAGGTAGTCCATGTATTCACAGTAATGTAACGTCATCTAATCAAGGTTTTACTTCCTCTGGCATTTAAAATGAAAGGGTAAACATTTACATAACGGTTTGCTGGGCATCATTGCATGTGTTTGTCCATACATTTGTGAACTTGCTTAAATCTGCTTATTACCTGTTTTCTGTGGAACAGAAGAATGTCACCCAAGGGTTGAGGACGCTGTTATCCGTAGAGGAAGGCAGATACATGGCCTCAGAGAAGCACGTTAGTAACAATCTCAGCAGCTCTGTCCTGAAGAGGATCAGTAAAAAAAACGTATAGGTTGACAGAAAAAAGTCACCCATGTAAAAATAAGAGAGTAAAACCTGTACGTGTCACAGATCCTGTCAAGCCGGCTGACTCACCTATTTAGATCATGGATGTAATTGAGAGGGGGCGACTGTGCAAAGCCCACCCCTGCCTCCCAGATGTATTCACAGCTGTCTATAGACTGCATGTTCTCTACTGAGTCCTGGATGAAGTCACAATGAATATCCAGATTAAAATTAGTTTAAGATTAGCAAATACAAATAAATCATATATATCAAAAAAAGGATTAGCAAATGAATTAATAATAAATGTTTCCATGACGTGTGGCTTGTGGAAATGTAGAAGCGATTAAATAATTAGCATAGAATAACAAAGGTTACCAAGGAAGTTTAAACCCCTTAAGAGCATTTACTGTTAACAGAGTTGTGGTTTGACGGAAAGTTCCTTTCTTGCTCATGAGAGTTGAGGAATTGGTGAGAATGACAATTGTGATCTTTTTCTATGCAAAGTATTTTCAGAAACTAGAGTTACAGGTTAGTTGGGCAACATAAGAACGAGGAAGTAGGAAACAATGCTAAAAAAAGTATCTTTAACAGTCAAAATACATGACCTATCATTAATGATTAATGCTGGATGGATTTGACACGGCAATATAACAAAATGGATACTCACAGGGCCTCTCCTATGGCTGTGCACAGTGAAGTCAGGGCAGAAGAGGAGGTCAGCGATGGCCAGGAGCAGAGACTCGGCCAGAGGTCGGGCTCCATCATCATCATCCAGCTCATCAGTCTGGAAAAGATGGACACATGTATGAGACTAGATCCAGATGATCAGCATTATTCTGTATCCTTCATTGAAAGGTATTGTGTAAATGGTCAAAGATGTTGCAAAGGCTTGTCAGAAATGTCTCAGTACAGCTGAGTTATTCGTCTCTACAGGTAAAAAGTCAAAAACACCTCATTACTACTGGAATGGGAAACAACTTTAACTTAAATAAAAGAGGTTTACATATAAAAATACCAGGCTGATAACTTGTAATGCTATACACACTGTATCGTATGTTCAAAGTAAGTTAGCATCTGAGAAGCATTATCATAATGTTATATTGTTTGTTATATTTGTTGTTACCTAAACAACATCAGGTTTTCAAAGTAAGATGTCGTCAACACTTATAACAACATTTAAGAGTGAGTGCTGTGTAATTAAAAGACTTGTTTTGATTGTCTCCCCCAGGAATAAACAAAGCATTTCTGACTGATTGATTCCTGTTCCCACGCACCCCAGCCCGCCCAGCCCCGGGCACAGTGGACCAGAAGAATCCTCTCCAGTCCTGGTCCTCAAAGATGTAGGGAAGGATGCGGCTGAGGATGCGAGTGCAGTTCAGGACCACCTGCTTCTCCCTCTCTGTGGGGCAACCAGACTCTGCACCCTGTACCAGCTTCTCCACGGCCTGAGGACAACAGAGGAATGAGATGTGTGGTATTGAAGCATTTAGTGATGTGCTGAACAACATGCTCTTATTTTTTTTCACGGTTTGGTCTCAGTCGGTTAATAATTACCCAGCCAACATGCTCAGTACAATAATAAACACCATCATTTCTGAGGCATCTTGTTCCATAAAAAAGATTATGGCCATTTCTTTTTAGCACAACATTCTTTGTTAATTATAATAATTGTATGTTGAGAAAGCCTTTTAGAGTGAGCAGCACTTAATAAATTGATTGTTAAAATATATGTGTTTTGATTACACTGGGAGGTATATTGTTTGAAAGATATGGGGAGATGTGTTTTTGTTATAGGCCTTCAACACATATTTACTTGAAAATAATTCTTGATCTAAATTCAATCACCAGCATGTTGCTGGCTGTGTTCAAAATATGTAACAAACCCCCTTTGAATTAGCAGCTTCAAGGGCTCTCGTCTCCTCCTCTTTATTTAATTAGGCTCTAAGTACCACGTATGCCTGTTTTGTTTTTGATAGGCGACTTCAAACGGAAACTGGTACCAAGAGACAGGAAGTGAAGGGAAAGGAAGGGAGAGTTGACTCACTTATTCCCTCGTCTGAAAGCACGAGGCAGTGCTTTGCTGACAGACTCCTCCGCTGGGCTCTAACAAACATCACTATTCCTCGATGTAGCCTCAAAACAAGGAGCATCCCTATGCAATCTAACATTATAAACAAGTTTGTGTTACACAGATACATTAACAGTTTCTTCAGTGTGTACCTTATAGCAGAGAGTTGCTAAATTGGAGGGGGACTCTTCTCGAACAGCTCTTATCTCGGCCGCTGGCACCAGTGCAAAAACATCCTGGACCGTGGTGGTGGTATCTGCCCAGAACTGGTCCCAGAAGGCATCGTCTGTGGCTTCCACTGGCTGTAAAAAAACACGTTTACTTTTTAATTCCCATATGAGTCAAATGGAGCATTTCATTTCAGGGAGATTTAAAAAAAACAATAGCCCTAATAATCTTAAAGTGCATTTATAATAATATAATATAGCCCTTTTAATTCAGAATGCACCTTCTTTTGTCTACATAGCCCATCCATGGCCGACCTAATGACAATGTAAACACAAGCTCTATTCTAGCAGCAGCAGTGAGGAAACATGATATGGCACCCTGGTCTAGCACTGTGCACCTGCCGCATCTGCAAACGCCAGACTACGTCATCAGCTTTGATTTAGCAAAGCCATCTTTTTTTCCTCCATAAAATACCAAAACATGAACACATCTTGTGATTTGCATCGTAGAATAAACCATAAATGAATCCATGACAAATACGACATATTTGGACAACAGTGATTTTAACATCGACCTTAGGAACACTTAGGTACTGGAAAATAAATATTGAGATGTTGCATGCAACATGGGACTGTTTTCCTATCGCTACCCCATCATACGCGTCATCTCCTCGGTGATGCTCTCCAGCGCGCTCATCGGCACAATATCTATCAATTGTACCCGTTGTTCAGCTGTATTGGAAGCGCATTTACCTGTGTTTTTGTTGTCAGCTGGATCACTGCTTTCCTGAAGTTCAGTTTTGAGTCGGTGCTGCCCATTGCGATTACTAACAGGGCCGCTGCTGCTGAGGATCCCTGTTAATCTCACCTCCGTCCTTCGCTTGAGTCATTGGCGGAGGCGTTTTTTACTCTATTGGCTGGCTGGACCTGCTGCAGGGTGTAACTTCCGGGTTGGGAAGATGTCAACAATTGAGTCAGATTGAATTGTTTTGTTTCTAGCATTTTAAACTGCTATACAGCCTAAAGACTTTATTTATTTTTCCTTAGGGGGGAAATGTTTCCATATTATAAAAATAACCATACTGATTTTACGTTCAGACACCCACTTTCTGTTACATTGTAGATCTAATTTATTGAATAAGCAGTTTTTTTATTCCAACCCTTAAAGTAATATTTACATCGGTCTGCAATGTGTTGTAGTATTAGGTTTAAAACAGCGACATCTTTTGGGGAATGTGCCATTTTTGTCAGAGTCTTATGTCATAGTTATTCAATTGGTGTGTCTGATTAATAAGACCACTTACTTTTTACAGAAGAATCTTGTTTTAAAAAACGAATTGTAAAGTTGAATTCAAATGAATTACTATTATTATTATATATTATCAAACGCTTTATCGTGGACTGCAAAATGTGCACCAGTGTTATGACATGCTGCATTTTAGTGCTACTCGTAAGCCCCTTGTTTTTTTTTGCAAAACGATGTTACCCTCATTGCATACGTGTAAATGATATTCATCATTTGCCTTATAATAATTTGTATCATAACTATCGTGCGTATTACACTTCACATATCTGATTCCACATTAAACTCTGATTTGAATGTCCTACTAGCACAGTATAGTTTATTTTTCCTTACAGCCCTTAAAAGCAACACTGCTGTTTTCGCGCATGCGCAGTGCCATGTAAACACAACTGTCGCGGTTGGTTGTGGTTCTGGCTGTTTTAGCTAGATAGGTTGAACAAAAATAGCTGTTATACTCGGGCTTTGGCACTGAGATCGTTAGATTTTTGACAAGGAAACTTTACTTTTTTTCTGCAGTATGTGCCTTTGTCAGCTATTTAAGAGCGTCAGCTTCGAAGATTAGCTAGCAGCTAGTTAGCTTTTAACCTAGCGTTTGTGACTGGCTTTTTTAACTGTCCTAGCTAGCTTAATGCTATTTCGGTAAGACCCGGTTACTATGCAATTTTTAATTACCAATTAGTTACAATTTTGAGTAGTTAATTATACACGATAATCCTTTCGGTGTTGCCAAAATGTCTTATAGTTTCACATTAATATTTACCATAATTAGCTAGCTTGGCAAGGCTATTTTGCTAACTCAGGCGATAGGCCATCGACTGAAAGGAATCAAGCTAACAAGTCGATAACGTCAACTGTTCGGGTCCTCGGTACTGATCAGAACAAAAACAACGGGAACTCACCGAGATTGATTTAGTGTCATCATATGTTGACTGAAAACAGGTAAGGGAGGCGTACAATATATAATATGACGCTAACTGATGAGATATTGCTCGAAATAAATGTTTTAGTTTCGTTGATGTGGCCTATATCAACCACCTGCATCAGCCATTTAAAATAATTGTGATTATGGGGTTGGTGTTGAAACATGCGAGCTGCAGTTGATCGTTCATGTGTCACAGCAAACATATACATGCTAGAGGCTATATGTGTTTAAAATGCGTGTGTGGATGTGCTTGAAACCCAAACAGGAAACGTCAGCGCAGCGGCGGTGATGAGGAGAGTGGCCACCTGGTGCCTCAGGCCAAGAGGCAGAGCAGATCTCACCCGCTCTCTCCTGAGCCGGGCCGGGATGCGTGGGACTCTGAGGTACATAACACTGTCATGAGGCCTACTATAGTAATACTGAAGAAGCTGGACAGTTGTCTTCTTTCACTAAATGTGCTGTAGCAGCAGATGTCAGCAAATGTAGTTAAGTTCAATTTGTCTCAACAAAGAACCAAAAAACTGAAAACAATAATTATTTAGTCACCTTTTGAGTTAAGATAAGATAAGATAGGACTTTATTTATCCCGAAGTAAATTGTTTTGCAATTCAATGTAGATCTACAGGAAACATAGACACATAATTAATGTAAAGTACTGTACAGTGACAAGCAGTATTTAGTAGTGCAAAAAAAACGTAGTCGCAGATACGTAATTGCACGTTATTATAGAACATTATTATTAATAATAATATTGCACGTTATATAGCAGAGAGTGTTTTGTAATGGTATTTATACTGCACATAGTGGTGGTGAGGAAGTTCTCAGTTCCCTTTACTGAAGGGTGAAGACTATAGAGTTTGATGGCCACTGGGCGGAAAGACCTCCTGTGCGCTCCGTGGTGGTCTCAATCTACAGCTTATAGTGCTCCGGTAGGAAACCAGTGTGGCATACAGGGGGTGAGACTCGTTGTCCAGAATGTTGAGAAGTTTCCTCAGCATTCTCCTCTCCGTTAGTGATCACAATGAGCCCGAAAAGCAGGGCTAAATATGAGACGTATTAGTGACTGCCACTGTATCTCAGGTGCATTAAAAGTGACACATGGGGAGAACTGGGATAAAATACGTTACCCTATCTGTTTTATCTACTTTTCATTGTCTGATTTGTAAAATCCTCAAACTCACATGGAATACTGACCTTCAGAGTTTACATAGGAGATGGATTATATATTAGGTCCCACCGTCAAGCTATGGATAGAATAATAGTAATTTAGATTTAATCCTAACATCACTCTCTACTGGTTAAACTGATACCGAGTGTTTAGGCCCTGAGCAGCAAGCCTGGTTAAAAGGCTTTTAGTGTATCCAGAGAAAACCACCCTTAATGTTGACATTCATATCTAGTTCACGCACTGCTAATGTAACATCTGCATTTCAGTCCTCCAACAGTGAGAGCAGCAGCAGCATCAGCAGTCCGGAGCATGCGGCTGGGAGCTGTGGCAGTCAGTGTGTTGTGGGCCCCAGCAGTCCGGTCGGCTCCGGGGACTCTACAGAAATGGCCGGTGGCGCCACAAGCCTGGTGACCTACCTGCAGATCAACCGCATCCTGAAGCACGCCCACTTCCAGAGCCTGCAGAGCCGATGTCCAATCAGAGACACATGACGACCCCATGTCTCTCTCTGTGTGCCACCAGAGGAGCGAGTCCCTGAGGCATGCCGGAGCCCCACATGCTGATTCACTTCATTCAGCTCTTCCCACCCATCTCCAGTTACTGTGATCTCCCACAGCTCTAACATACCTGTGGATGAAGCGATCAGCACTTGGTCAGGTATCTGGAGGGGATTCATCATTCAAATAAATCAAAAGTGATAATCATTTTAGCAATAATAACTGTGTGATCAACTTAAACACATTTTTTGTGATCCACTTATTTTCTGACCTGTCTGGTTTACATGCTGCTCTGACGGGACTGATTGAAGATGACAGATCCCTGTGTTTTGTCTTAAATGTTGTATGAAAACAGTGCTACTGGAGCTGCAGAAAGTGGCACCAAACACGATTTAATGCCGGTCAGTGTGACTCGTTTAGTCTCATAGTAGGGTACGTAAGTTGTACTGAATCTGATGTCTGTGTAAGAACATGGACCAGTCTCAGGGAGGATTTGCACTTGTCTTGGACTGCTCATTTGCTTTCATATTCAGACGGGCAACCCTCTACAGGGACCTGTAGAACCATGGGTGGTAACTTGGCCAAGGAGGTTATGCTTTCTGACCCTATTTTGTTAGTATATAGATTATTTAGAGTTCAGTTAAATTCAGTGGAGAGCCATCTTATGCGTTAGGTGATTTGGTTTTAGTGTGGTTTGTTTTAGGACTTAGAACACTGCAAGATGAGGCATTTTGAACACTTCTACCAATTGTCCATCTGCACTTACTTGTAGGACATTTTTCAATACTTAACAAAGTACTGTATGTTTGACGGTCCTGATGCCGATAACAATTTCAAAAACCATTGATTGCTAAACCAGGTGTTGCTTACTGACATGTTTCATTTTCTCCTGATCAGACTTATTAGACCATTCATTTGTCAGCAGGAAAATGAAAAAAACTATTGGCCTGGTTTTCATGAAACTCAGTGGAAAATGTAAGCATGGGTCAAAGGAGAACCCATTCAATTTTGGACCTGGATCATCGGTCGGATACAAACTTGATCTTTTACTCACGGAAACAGCCTTGGCAGAGGTCTGTGCTCCGCGTGTGCCCTTCTCGTTATTTAAGGAAATGAAATATGTTGTAATGATTCTCTGAATACAAGTTGATTCATGTTAAAACTGATCATGATAGGAAGCTTACCATGAAAAAATAACTTGGAATCATTTTTATAGGATTAGGTCTGATAAGTAGGTGGTTAAGGTTTCTTCTGTTTTCTTGTGATCATGGGAACATTTAGTGATCACAAAATTACCAGCTTTGTTTTATCATGACCACAAAAGCAAACAAGACAATGGTGTTCAAACCGCAAACTCCATACAACTTTCCATACTCCTTTTTAGCCTTTTCAAATTGTTTTTGATTGTATGGAAGCCTTTGAGCATGTAGGAAAAAGTAGTTGTGTCTGTCCAGAGGGGGTTACATCACAGCCTTTAGGAACAAAAAGACATTCCCTGGGCTTTGTTTGCGATATGACCACTGAAATGCTGTTTTTAAAATCGCAGACAAGCCTTTCTGCTTGTGCACTAACATTGGATGGTTGCTGTGTGTGTGTCCTTGTGCACTGAACATCCAGGTACAAGCACTGACCACGAGGCTGTGCGTCTCTTCTCTGAGCATTAGATTGGTTTTATTGCTAAAGCCTAATTGCAGGAGTAAGCATAGCTGTTTTGATTTTATTTTCAGACTGGTGTGTCAGAAGTTAAAGCATTTTGAAGATGTGGTTTATTTTTTTCAATGAAATATTTTTTGTATTTAGTGATGTACATGACATTAGCCTGCCATTTACTTTTTTTCTTGTAAATACCCCTTCATTTCCAAAATAAAAATTAATGTTTTTGAAAAACGCATTGTTTACTTATTATGTATTAAGCTGCATTTTGCCCTTTCCTTCCCTCTCCTACATGTTGATGCCCGGTGATCTGGTTCTATTCATACTGTTCCTCTTTTTGAGAATATACCTATTAGGTTTTGCTGACAGGAATTCCCGCCATCCCCACATCCTCCCTTCTTCCTCCAAATAGCCAGTAATGAATGACTCCCCATGCATTGAGAGCATCATTAATGGAGCAGGGAAAGGTTTCTTTAATTAGCACATTACATGTCCTTGTCTTGTCACAGACACAGTAACAGATTACATACATTAATGCACCACACGTAACCACGGTTACCTTGCAGGCCACTGTGGGTCCTCATTACTCGCCTTCTTTTGATTCCCTCCCTTCACCTATCCGTACTAAATTAGAGATGACGAATGAACCAATGATAATTCAGGATTAGCAATCTGCCTGCATGTAGCTCTTTTTTTCTCAGGTGCATGCCTTCTCATTATCCTGAAATGCAGCACGATACAGAGAGGGACAATTAGTGAGTTGTAAATTAACGTTACATTTTAGCATCATCTGAGGTATTCCGCTTTAACCAGCCTTTTGTATTGTGAAACAAACATCCCATTAGAGCCAGGCAAATGCTGTGTAATTATTAAACTGGCAAAAATGCAATTAGCAGCATCTTGGATACATATTTATTTTGTTAAAAATCTAATTCCTGTTTACGAAAAACTTTATTGCATGTCGAATAAATAATTTACCCGAAAATGTACATATAATCAAGTTAAAATATCCTTTAACTGCAGTAGAGATCAGCGTTTATATATATTTTTAAAACAGCCTACTGGATGGATGAGACATAGCAAAGTAAATATATAGTAAATTGAATTCAGTGTAAAACGTGTATTCTTTTGTACACGCTGTTTAAAATGGTAACATTTCTGGGGGAGGTAGTATTAATATTGTTGTTGTAATATTATTATGAAGAACATTAACAACAGCGATAATATCATTCAGGGTGAATGGTTAAGTAGATGAACTAAATAACTAAAACGTTTTATCCTTAAATGACCCAAGAGTAAAATGTCACAGCACACACTAGTTTTTACTGTGAATACTGGGATAGTGTTCTTTCTGACAGCAGATGTTCTGAGTCCAGATGTTTATGAAATGATCAGCAGAGGGCAGCACATTCTGAGTGTTAGCTGCTGAAGTCCTCGCAGACTGCATCATATAAAAGATGGGGTATTCTACAACAGGGTCAAAAAGTGTGGGCTCTGGAAGATATTTATCTTTAATCTGTTTCCACACACAAATACACAAAGACATCATACACACTGTCCTTTCTGGGCAGTGCACAGATATGAAGGTGGGCGGTGATGAATGGCTCATATCAGCTGAGTGGAGAGGCAGGAGAGAGTTAAATGAACTATCCTTGTTCTGGGGTCTATGTATGCGCATACATTGTTATATTTTTACCGTGGCCAGCGGAAAAAAAAAATCTGGGTTAGTCTTTGGTTTATTTTCTTTTGTGTCCTCTCTGCTAAGATTCCTATCTCTCCTCAAAGGCAAAAGCACACTAAAGTAATCAGCTACAGCCAAACTACTGTATGTTTTAGATGTATCAGTGTCTGGTTCACCTTCAGCTTCAACACTAGAATAATCTCAACAATCTTATTTTAGAAAAGGAAAAGACAAACTGGTTACAGGACAGTCTTTGGAGTGGCGTTGGTTTATTCAAAATAGGAATCATGTCAGACCTAAAAGAACAAGAGCAGAAAAAGGAAAAGTAAGCCAAAGCTGACCTTGCCACCCTTAGCTGTCTTTGCCAGACTTTGCCTGATATGTGTTTGGGCAGCTGTTGCCTAGCATGAGCTGGTGTTTGGGTTGGCATCAACCATGCAGCTTACCCTCACCAGCCAACACAAACATCTGCTTTACCTCCCCACAACTATTTTCGCCCAACATCAAACAACAAAGCTCGCCCGCTCTACTGCCCCCATGGCCATCCGAAGAATTAATGACCCACCAAGCACATTAGCGGTGCCCTATTGCCCCGGCCTGGCTGGAGCGGGGAATAAGGAAAGCTGTGGCAGAGAAACAAGGAGAGGGAAGGGTTAGTGGGTCGGGATGATGAAATACTTCGCAGGTCAGGAATCGAGATGGATAGTTATTCAAGTAATAGTGTGATGTTTACTGCATTCATGCAAATCCCTTTTCATCCTGCAATGCGCCTTTAGCATTCATTTTACAGTCACGTTCACAGATGAGACGTTTGATTTCATAGCATGTTATTGTTTGCAATTCTGGTTCTATGATAGATGTTAAGGGTTGCAGTGAAAGCACAGTATTACTCTCTATTTTTGCAACTTACCCTAGTGGTGTACTCAAGTTGAGGAAGGAGTTTGTTAAAATACAAATCTATGACTAGAAGGCAAAGCACTCAAACTGAAACGACCTGCTCTTGAAACAACGAAAACAGAGGAGGATCTTCAGCCGACGCTGCTGCTGTGAAGGCTCACTCTTTCCCCAACTGTTGCTGTCAGGGTGTGGAGAGGAGGGCTGGGTTATCTCACTGACTGCAGCCTCGATGCAGCTGAGAAACAGTCATCATTTCCCTAAGAAAAAGAAAGAAAACCGTCCAGCCACTCTCTTTAGAGCTGTCTGCAGTTTTAAAGCTTTGAACGGACTGAACAGAAAAGTAGGATGACCGACAGGCTCGGCATGCTTGGGTCTGTGTCTCCGGTTCCACTTTATGGCCTCCCTATTCAATTTCACACAATGCGCTCGAGAGACAATGTACAGTAGACTGTTTTCACAGCACAGCGAAGTTACAGTCATGGCCTCGATCAATCATAATAAATGTTCACCCCAGTACACAGAAAGAAAGGCTTTGAGCAGTTTTTTGTCCCACATGCAGGCCACCAGTGTTCCTCGTTTTGTGGTTGCTTGTGAGGATATTCACACACCCTGGCTTATATTTGTAAAATGTTTACAATTTTCAGTTTTGCACTGTTCAGCTGTCAACACTCGCAGGCCTTCAACCCAGAGTGTGCAGGAGGGAAGAAGTGCAATAGTTTAGAGAGAGTCGTGCTAAGTGGGACTGTTTAGGATTGGTTGGGTAGAGCATGCACTCAGCGCACCACAATATATACCGCTGTTTTCTAAATGGCCCCTATTAACTGAATGGGAATAGGCTGCACTCAGGCCTGTGCTGTTAGCTCAGAGAGGACAGGCTACATGGCTCACACAGCCTGGTGTCGTGTGCACACGGCTGACCTACCACACAGACATGTTTCATATCCAGAAGACTGATATGGCGCCGTTCACAGTCACCAAGGTGCAATTTGTTAGATTTGGACTATAACTGTCAGGAAGAGATATACCCTCACTTAAATAGCCGCCCATAATCTGCCCCTCTCCCTGTATTATCCTAATTGAACCCACGGGCGGCCAACGCCATCAATAGCTGAGCTCATCTGCAAATTAATAAAACATGGGCCCTCTCCAAATCTGTGCTTGAGATAAAGCTTGAAGCTACTTAGACACACTAAGACTGAGTGTTTGTGATTGTTATTTTCAAAAGGAATGGAACACAATAAAATGTTTTCATTTTCTTTTTCAGCAGTGATGAGTCCTTATGGCTCTCCAGGTCCTATGTGTATTCCCAATTCGCTAGTTCTTCCTTTTCGTAATGGAAACACTTATTAAAAACATAAAACGTCATTTACCTAAACATGCTTTTGCAACCCTCGAACACAGGGATGTTAGATCGGAGGCCACACAGCTTTGAGGTGCAGATTCTTGATGATTCAACAGGTGATCACCGAGCAGGATGTTTTGTTTTCTCCTCACTGCTGACTGTTGTGAAGCCACATTTTCCTTGGTCAGGACTTAGACATACTGGCACCACCAACAAGTGCCAGATCAGCACAAGAACAGGGGGGTTTTGACTTTGTGTTTATTTTGACTGTCTGGACGGACGCCCAGCGTGACGTGGGAGTTGATGAAAAGGGTGGTCGTCATAATAAGACCTAGATCTTAATAATAACAAATCCTAGAGGACACTAAAAAAGCAGCCAGGGGTTATTAAAGACATCTATCGTGTATCTTGGGCTCGTAGTCACTGAGTTACCATCCCTTCCTCTTCCTCCTCCTCCTCTTCCTCCTCTCGCCATTGTTGATCACTCTTCTGTTAAACATGCAACCAAGGCCATGGTGACAAAACTTCCCCTCCTTCTCTTTTTCTCTCCCATAAAGCTTTCTATCATGGAGCACAAATCCATTTGTTTTCACACATACATAACCCAAGCAAGACTTTCAACCTCCTACTGTTCCTCCGAATGGAAGGCCGAGCCTAAAGTGGCATCAGTCTCTGAGAAAAGGTGGGACTCCTCCATATCAACATAACGTACGGCCTTGAGTGCACCTGAAAGTGGTTGGTTTGCTCTTGGGTTTATTTTACAGCACAGTATGCTCAGGACATAAAGAAAGGAATGCTGTTAAAGCTGGAAGGCCATGACAACTTGATTAGCCATCAAGATCAACTGTGAACAACCTGGGAGCACGGAGAGAAAAGGCTGACATCACAGAGCTCGGGTATATGGAGCCATGGATATATGGACAACATAGAAAAAACATACTGACTCTCCAAAGAAAACAGTGACTAATCCTGGGACAGAGTATTGTTTGGGCATGCACATGATTGTTGAAACACCTCGATGCCACAGTGAATGATGGTGCTCACTTGTCTATGCTGGACCAGTTACAAAGTGAGGGGTGTAAAAACACGAGTAATCATCAAACCAGAGGGTAAGCAGGTTCCCATGAACAATATACACAGAGACAAGCCTTTTCATCCACAGAGCCTAGATGGTTGAACTTTAACAGTGCACAAAAAGAAGACACAAGGTGCTTAAGGCATCTTCATGGCACAAAAGGGCTGATCATTTGTTGGATTTGTTCGTTTTAAGTGGTTGTTCCTAAGTGTATTTACTCAAATATTACTGGGCTCATGTT